ATGCTTCCTTTTCTGTCTCCGTTCTTCAGGATTTTGTTTCAGAACTACAGCTGTGTCAGAAATCTCGGATTTTTTTTACAGTTCTGTGGGCCTTTTTTTGACATTTTATTTTGTAGAAATACATTTCATTCATGTGTGTTTTTGTAAAAATGCATCTGTGTGTTTGAAAAATTACATTTAGGTACAATGTGATTGAAAAAATAGCATCATGTTTATCAACAAACTTGATATCAGTTAAGAAACTGTATATAAATGAGCTTTTAATTATGCATACATTATAAAACACAATGACAGATCAAATTCCCATTACTCTGGAAAAGCTAGCTTAATTCATTTTAAAAACTCCAATTGTATTCACTGAGGCTTGTAAATGACTTTCTTACTTTACTTTTTTGTGATGAGGGAATGCACACACTCCAGCATTATCAGCAGTGATTGATCTAAAAGTCTGATTGGCAACTAAGCTCATTAGCTTAACAGAAATATGTGTGATTAGTTATAATGATCAGCACTAAAACATGAATGAAAATAAATCTGATGCGCAATATAACAAATAAATAATTCATTTTCACTTTAGTCAAGACAGTTTTAAAGGGATAGTTCACTCAAAATGAAAATTCTGTCATCATTTACTTACCCTCCACTTGTTCCAAACTTTTCCTCTGCTGAAACCAAAAGAAGACATTTTAAAGAATGTTGGAAACCGGTACCGATTGATTTATAGTTTTTTCTTACTATGAATGCCATTGGCTACTGGTTTGCACATTCCTTATAATATCTACTTTTATATTAAACAAAATTTTTTTTGTCATTTTTTTTTATTTTGGGCTGAACTGTCTTCCCTTTATTAGGTTTTGTTTAATTGTGGAATGGCAGGAACAGTTTTTGACCCTTATCTTGAAATTTTCTTGACAATTTATGACTCTATTGTAGATGCGCTGTTGATTTAAAAAACAAAAATAATCGATCAAAGAATTCTTTCTAATACAATAATGCTCATATTAAAATGTATTTGATTAGTTGGTGCTTCACGACGTGCACTTGATTTTTAATTTAAAAGAATACAAGCTTTCATCTGAAATTATCATAATTTTTTTTTCTTTTTGGCTTATTCCCTTTATTAATGAGGGATCGCCACAGCGGAATAACCCACCAACTTGTCCAGCCTATGTTTTACACAGCGGATGTCCATCCAGCTGCAACCCATCACTCGGAAACACCCATACACTCACATTCACACACATACACTCTGGGGGGGGGAGGAGAATATGCACTTTCCACACAGAAATGCCAACCGACCCAGCCGGGGATCAAACAATTGACCTTCTTGCTGTGGGTCGACAGCACTATCCAATACCCCACTGTGCCGCCTCTAATACTATACACATCTTTAATATTATATTTTATATGTTTAGTTGGCATTAAACTTCTGGTATTAGAAGAAAATAGGTTGTAATTTGATTTTGTCCTTGAGAAATTGTCAGTAGGAAGTTGGATCATAGGAAATTGGGTGTTTATTTACTGGAGGCAGATCTGACATACATGATGAAGAGAACAGATGCTGTTTAGGAGGAGAAGGAAGGTTAATGATTTTGGTTAAAGATTTCAAGGGCGTAATACTTGTTTAATTGCTAAGATGTGTGCGGATAAATCATTAATAATAGGCACTGCAGCATTCTGTAAAACAAGTATGATCAATTTTGATTTGTTGGTGACTAATCATTTTCAGTGTAGAAGAAGGACTTGGGATTTGTTTAAAACTGAACTCTACTATGTGTTTTCTCTTTAACATCTTAGTGTATAACACAAAAATCATCAGTGTGGCTTGTATCATGGAGAAAGATGTTTTAGCACAATTTTTTTTATTCAGCTCAACTAAGATGGATGCCAGTATTTCCTGAAGCTGATTTCTGTAGCCCTGAGGAGCTGCCTGACTTGAGAGCAATTACAGCATCACACACAAACCCGCTCATGCTCAGACAGTGCTACGTATCCGCGGAAACGTGAGTTAATGAGGCTGTAACCTGAGAAACAGCAGAAGCAATGACACCGCATCCCACTGTGATTGGACAGCTCGTCGTCCTTTTGGAAGAGTTCCCGCCCTCTCCCTCACTTCCACAATCACTCGCCTCAGCATCCTCCATGACTGACAGGCAGCTGAACCAATCACAGTACACGAGGATGTCCTTAGAGCTGACCTTGCCAGGCCATTCACAAGAATACATGATGTAACATGTGATGTACAATAATAGGTTGACACGGCTCACATGCATTTCCATCTTTTCTCACACACACATATGCACATATCAGTCATTTGTAGTGCGTAAAGTGGCGATGAAAAGAGAACAGGTACTCATGATTGTGTGCTTCATTGCTTGTCTCCTTTAGGTTTAACTGTAGCAATGCATAGCAGCCTGCTGGAAAATTCTACACCTTAAATCCTCTGATAAGCTTCGAGTAAGCGAATGAAGTGGTGTGACATCATTTTGAACAAAATCAGGCAAAAATTTTGTTATTATTCTAATTAAAAGTGAAACTGACAATTTTTAAATATGAAACTACATTCATTGAAGCTAAATATTGTATAAATTGCTATATACGTAATTATTTTAAGACTTAAATGAGTGTTGAATCACAGAGCTTGTGTGATCGTACAAATATTGCTATAATTACATGATTTCTAAACTGCGGTTTTCTTACCACTTTGATTTTCTTGTATATTATAGAAGTCAAAGGTTACAGGGTTCCAGATTTCTTCAAAAAAAATATTTTATTTGTTTAACAGAATAAAGAAATTCAAAAAGGTTTGGAATAATTAAAGCTTGAGTAAGTGATTACTCAATTTTCGCTTTTGGGTGAACAAACCTTTTAAAGGTTTATTCATTCATTCATTTTCCTTCGGTTTAGTCCCTTTATTAATCTGGGGTCGCCAGAGCGGAATGAACCGCCAACTTATCCAACATATGTTTTACACAGTGGATGCCCTTCCAGCTGCAACCCAGTACTCAGAAACATCCATACACCCTCATTCACACTCACACACTACAGCCAATTTAGCTTATTCAATTCACCTAGCACATGTCTTTGGACTGTGGGGGAAACCAGAGCACCTGGAGGAAACCCACACCAACACGGGGAGAACTCCACACAGAAATGCCAATTGGTCCAGTTGGGGCTATAACCAGCAACCTACTTGCTTCCACCGTGCCTCCCCTGGTGCATGAATACAGTCTTTGTTTTTATTTACTCCATGTAGTTCTGAGAGGTGACATGTACCTTATGATGTTCTCAGATACAATCAGATAAGTGCGTTATAGTCACTCTCACACACTCGCATGCACACATACACACACTTTAATTTGCTGTTTATACTCCATATAAAATCTAGAAACTTAGCTTTTTTTGCACAGGCCAATCTAAAGGGTTATTGGTGCCAACTGATGATCAACAGTAAAAATTACACATTTTACCTCCTCCCAACAGGGAAAACCACCAACAATTAAAAATGCATGATTATATGGTGTCATGGTTTTGTAATACATTTTTTTTTTTTACCTTTTTATTATTTTTTTTACCTTTTTATTTTAAATGTAGTAATTTTGATGAGGACTGAGATTGGTTAGGGACAAATTATGCTTAAGAAATTATAAAACAGAACAATTTAGATAATCTGGAGTATTTTCTAAAGAACAACTGGCAGGACAAACATAGAACGTAAAAAAACATCGCAAGTCATTCTGGTGACTATATTAAGATACAAGATTAATATAAAAGTTATGTAAAAATACCATATTCAAGACAATACTAAATTGGCACAACCAAAATTAAAATTAGAAATTACATGTTTAGGATACGCTCCCTTATTTGTGCAGATTTAAAAAATGTAAACTTTTAAACTGTACATTAGGATGCATTTGCACCTTAGATGTTGAATCTCTTGATGTCAGTGGATGTTTGATTGTCAAAACATCACCAGCATTGCGCTCAGATTTCACATTTCTGAAATAAATCAAAATTGTATTTCCTTGAAAAAATGCTTTTTCATTTCCCCACCATTTATGTGAGTTCTAAATATAACTTGCCTACATGATGCTAATTGAACAGGCTGTGTACATTGATCATGTCATTTAAAATAATTACCAAAACTGTTTCTAATAATATTTTGATCAAACTAATGACAGGAACTAAATCACTTTGGTCATCTAAAATACTGTTTTGAAGTAACCGTAATTTGAATACCACCTATATAAAATGTAACCTTTATAAAGTACAGTTACTTGCATTTTAAATAGGTACATAAATAGATGACTAAGCTACATGTATGTTTTGTTATCACCTAACCCTGATGACGAACAAAAAAATATTATATTGCGGCCTTCATAATGTATTACAGCCAGTTAGTATACCTTAGCATGCAACTAGAACTATCTATCTGTCACAGCTTTTCATTTCCATCTTCATTCTCATTAACCTCCTTCTCCATCATCCTCTTTTTTTCTGTGTATCTCTTTATTTCTGCATCCTTTTTGTTCCTCCATCTGCTTTCCTGCCATCTCTCTCTCCTTCTCTCACACACTCTTTCTCTCGCTGCAGTACAGGGGAGCAGGCGACTTGTGCCAAAAGGAGAAATGCTGCACTGCATTATGAAACACGAACGCACACACGTATGGACACGCACACGTGTACACACACAGACACAGTGACAGCTCTGTAACGGAAAGAGGGATATAGATTGTCTGAATTTAATTCCATGTGTTTCTGCAGGGGAGAATGAACCTTTACACACTGATGCAGAGAGAGACACTGAGTATGTGCGTGCTTATGTGTGTGTGTGTGATCGCGCCCTATTTTAGGAGGCTGGACTTCAGCCATGGCTCTGAAGAGACAAGATACTCTTTTTACTTTGATCTCTTTCCATTTTACACACACACTCAGCCATACACTAGCATTGTGAGGGTCAGTGCGTTATGTTACATGTATGTGTGTGTGTGTGTTTGTAGGAGGGCGAAGAGCTGATCCAGGAGCAGCCCGAGTTGCGATCGGTGGTGGAAATGAAGTTGAAGGAGATCAGAGAGTGCTGGTCTCACCTGGAGAACACCACTAAAGTCAAGGCCCGGCAGCTCTTTGAAACCCAGAACCACCGGACTACTGACCTGCCCACTAACAACCTCAGCGACCTGGACCAGCATTTGAACATCATACAGGAGCAGCCGCCCACACTGGGCTCCACCCACACCACACAACCCACCCTTCTCCAGCCCCGTCCCACTTTTAGCCAGCAGCTCCAGAGGATACAAGTGAGACCAGATAAAGCTACTGAATGATATCTGCTGTCCAAAGGCAAAGCACAGTAACTGCACATTTAGTCAAAATTGAGTAAATTGAGCTTAAAATGGCCTTTTTTACATCTGTACTGTCTTATTATAAAGTCGTCTAGCTCAGATTAATCTTGCTTTAGAGAATTACCAGAGAAACACTAATCTACAGAAAACAAGTTTTGCCCAGATTGATAACTTTAATACATTAATTTTATAACTCACCTTAAGTATTACTATTTTTGAATCCATTCAGGCAATCTCCAGGTCTGGGAGGAGCACTTTTAGCTTAGCTTAGCATAAATCATTGAACTGGATTAGACTATTAGCATCTTGATCGAAAATGTCAAAAAAGTTTTAAATAAGGCAAAAGACGTGTTTTGCATGATTTGTTGCTATTTTTAGACCAGCGCAATAGTAACTTTTCACGTTTTGCACCATGTTGTTTAAATAGCAAATCCATTTGCACCACTTTGTGGACTCATGGGTGTGCCAGTCTAAAAAGGTAGTGTGTTAAGGCGCATTGTTAGTGCTTTGGTATTTGGAGACCAGCTAAAACCTGGTCTAAAGTCCAGCACAGAGCGGGTTAGTTAAGCAGATCCAAATGCTTACACATTGCTTCAAACACAAAGGATGTACAGCAATACACACATATCTTTACATATTAAAAAATAAAGGATTAAAATGTTACAAAAATTATTATTTTCTACATAAGTATAAAACCCATTGCCTCCATCCCTCATCTTGGGGGCCTTTTTTCAGTTTATTCATGACAATTTGAATTTTTTGTTATTATTATCAGTATTATTTATTATATGCATGTTTATATTTGTTTTAATAAAACTAGATTTGTCCACCTGTCGGGTTTTGGAGATGTATGCAACACCATATGAGGCATAAGAATAGGATGTGTGTTTGGATATAACTCAGTTTTTTGACCACACTATGTTATTATTGTTCATTTATTAGTTTGCCGGAAATTAGAACTGAATAGAAATAGTTTTGAAACAAATCCTTGCATTTAACAAATGAAATTAAATACAGTATGTAGGCTAATAGATGTCTTTCCTAACTGCACGAAAGTAAAGAAGTAAAGTAAAGAATAAAAGTAAAGTAAAGAGAAAGTAAAAAGACAGAATGTTAAAATTTTTCCACTAACAAAGTCTGCTGTGTAAAAAGAAAATGCGCCATGGCATGACGCAATTGACTTTTAAAGGGAATGGGAGATGAGACTCTGATTGAATTATTGCACGTTATGCTCAAAACACACCCAAAACTCATTAACAGAATCAGCACAACCCTGTTAGACCATGCACTGCGTCACAAAGCTAATTTTTCATCCTTAAAATAGCAAAAGTGGATTCGCCCTTTACGCTTTTGCACCATGCGCTTTAGACTTTGCGCCTAGATCATTTTGTGCCTAGGTCGAAAGGGCGAGGAAATACACACATTGTAATAATAAAGTAAATTTGCTGATGTACCATGGCAGAAGCAGGCTCAGTTATAATATACAGCATCTGAAAATTGTCCAAGGTAACTAGGTAAAATTGCTGCGTAATTTCATTGCGCCTGCTGCAGCCATGGTACAGCGGCAATTTCCTTAATCATTACACCCAATGAAGGTATATTTCCTAGCCATATCGACCTAGAAAATAGCAACTTTTAATTTTCCTTACTACACAATAGAACTACAGAAGAGAAAGGGTTTAAATTGGAAAATTATTTTTTCTATAGGAACATAACCTTTCTAAATTCTTTAAATCTTTTTAGCTGACGGTGACGGTGCTAACGGTCTAATGCAATTCAGTGATTTATGCTAAGCTAAGCTAAAGTGCTCCCGTCAGACCCATAGATTTGCTGAATGGAATCAAAAATAGTAAAACTTAACTGTTTCATGCATTTGTGAATATTTTTGTACCTGTTTTAAAATGTGGAGGTACTGTTTGTTTTATGCATTAACTGCATTTTGCAGCCATACTTTGTTTTTTTAACAGCGAGGATCACAATGGAAACAAGCCCGGGGCTTTATTGTGTTTTTATCCTCGACAGGTTTATTTCAAAATGTATGGGAAACTTGTATTTTTGTACAGTTTGTCTAAAATCTGTCAAATAAAAATTCAATTCAATTTTAAAATTTAAATAAAAAAAAAAGTTAACTTTAAAAAAAGTCTTAGTTTTGGTGTTTGCATAAGTTGTGCTTTGCCTTTGTAGTGCAGATATAATATCTTGATTTAGAAAACTTCTTATCCATGTGTAATCTTATTTTCTCTTCATCCTGTAGTCATGGGAAGACCAAATGCAGCTTTTTCATGGCGTTAGTGAAGTCATGGCTGGTGCTGAACACAGGAGACCTGAAGGAGAAGAGCAAGGAGGCGTGCCAGAAACCCGGATTGTGCGTCTGATTGAGCCTCTGAAGGAAAGGAGGCGGATTCTTCTTGCCTCAAAAGAATTGCATCAAGTCACACAGGACCTGGAGGATGAGATTGTGAGTGTCTTTCCTTCAAAGTAGTAGACAACATTGTTATTTCTATTCACTCATTAGTCATTAAAGTATTTAAATGTTTAAATTTGTGCATAAAAAGAATTATGAATATTTCAAATTGTGGTGCTTTTTGAAGATTTGAAGTTTTCTAATACAAGATACAAGAACAATACAAGAACAATTAAAAGAGGCTCTTTTAACTTGGGTCTACAAACAGCAAACCAGAACAGCATAGCATCGGCCAAATCAGCCAATCAGTTAGCAGCCAACTAGCAACTAGGTCAGAACCCAATTATGCTCAAATTGGGGAAAAAAAAAAAAAATTAATGGGAATAGCAGTTTCTTTTTGTTATAACATTTATGTAAAAATTAAACATATATAATGCAATGCATTTATTAAAATATGTAAATGAAAGTGATTGTATTAATTTAGTTAGATTTTAAATGAATAAAAACTGACCAATGGGGATTCCTTGTGATCCTTAAAGTATTGTATATAAACATTTTTTTTTACACTAAATGACATTTTCGTGGATTTCCTCTTTAGGTCATGTAAAATGAATAATAAGCATAATTTTTGCGTATGACATATTAAATAAGGTAAAGAAGTTATACCTATATAGATTTGTATATAACAATAATACAAAAGTATATACAAAGCATAAGCTTGTACGTTACTTACAGATCATAGATATAGTGAAACAAGAAGTATATCTGAATTAAATTGCAGACATTGCTGTTTGACAGTCACAGTAATTAATATCATGATTTCAGTAGATCTTAGCAAATGCAAAGCAACTCCCTTGCAAAGAGAGGTACTGCTTACGTGTTCTTCAGAAAATATTGATTTGTTAAGTATTTACTATACTCAAGTTGTCTGTTTTTCTGTCTTGGCTTTTGTAGATATGGATTCAGGAGCGGTTGCATTTGGCCTCATCTATAGAATATGGGACCAATTTGCAGAGTGTCCAAAATTTAATGAAAAACCATGAGGTGAGGGTTGTAAATGTATTCTGGTACATTCTGGTTAGCCTGACAGGATAAATAATAATAAAGACAATCAGTGAAACATGCTTCTGTTTTTACAATTAGTTATAATGCTGCAAAAGGACAGCTATGGTTTCATTTCTGAAGTCATTGTAAAAGCCAAACCCTGCACACGGAGTAAATCACCTAAATCTTGGTGATTTCATGTCAACTTAGCAAATATTGGGGGAATTTCAAAGGTTATTGCTTTAAACTTGAAACTTAAATTTAGGCATGCATTGTATGTTCATACAGTGCTTTAATAAAATTTATGGGATTATTCCTGCTAAGATTCCTTAACTATAAGACTATAAGAGAGAGAGAGAGTAAAAGCATCGGTGCTGTGGAAATTGATTTATCTCAGAGTTGTATTGCAGGCCAACAGCCAAATATGATACAAATGCCTTTTCTGTCTGTCAGTCAGTTTTCTCAATGCATTGTATTGATTATCATCCTAATATATAAAGTGTTGTTTATAACAAAGATGATAACTGTCTTAACTGTGATTTAATAATTATTGTATTTCTATGAAAATGTGAAATTTGAAAACTATAATGACAAGAAAAACCACAACTTTAGTAACAAAAACACAATAAATTAAGTCACTTTCAGTAAAAAAAATGATTCTGACAGCCAATAAATCTTTGAGGAAGTTGAGCATTTAACACAGTTATATTAATATTAATTAGTTAGTAAGAGTGTTATTAATTTGATATGTTCTTAAAGGAACAGTCCACTTTTTTGGGAAAAAAAAATTTACTAGTCACTTAAGCTTTAGAGTTTTTTTTAAATCCTTTTAATCCATTCAGTTGATCTCCAAGTCAGTCTAACTCGTTTAGCTTAGCTTAGCATAAATCATTAAATCAGATTAGACCATTAGCATCTCACTCAAAAAAAAAAATTGATTTTCTGATCAGCTTAATGGATAGAAAAATAGTAAAACTCAACTCAACAAGGTGACTTGTAAAATATTTCCAAAAAGTTCAGTGGTTAGCACTAAAGAAGGTTGCTGGTTCGAGTCTTGGCTGGGCTAGTGGGCATTTCTATGTGGAGATTGCATGTTCTCCCCGTGTTTACGTGAGTTTTCTCTGGGTGATCCGGTTTCCCCTACAGTCCAAAGACATGAACTATAAGTGAATTGGGTAAACCAAACTGACTGTAGTGTTTGAGTTTGAGTGTGAGTGTTTGTGCGGCTATAAGGGCATTTGCTGTGTAAAACACATGCAGGAATAGCTGGCGGTTCATTCTGCTGTGGCAACCTCTGATTAAAAAGGGACTAAACCGTAAGAAAATGAATGAAGAGGCTTCTATTAGTATTAGTGTAGAAATTTAATGCAGCTTTTCTGGGTTTGATATTTCAAATTACATGGAGGGCAGTGATGAATTTTGATTGGCTTTGATGGACAGCTCATGCGTGTGTGTATGTTTGGACATGCAGGCACTGCAGATGGAGATGCAGGTTCGGAAGGGGAGACTCGAGGAGGTTCTGGAAAGGGCAGAGGCTGTTGCTGCCTTGCGGACCCCAGAGGTGGAGCTTGTGCGCGAGGGGGCGGGGCATGTGAGACAGCTGTGGGAGGTGCTTCAGGTGGAGATGGAACGCCGCACAGTGATGCTGGATGCTGTGAACCAAGCCCAGCAGTACTACAGCCAGGCAGCGAAGACAGAGTCCTGGCTCAGTGGACAGAAACTTCAGGTCCTCAATGAGGAGAAAGGAAACGTATGTAGTCTTCCATAAAACTCAATCTGTCTATTACTTTGAGTGGATTTTGAAATTTTTTATTGAATTTATAATGTTTTCATGGCCAATGTGTACACCACTTGTAACAAAACCTTTTCTGCATAAATATTGGTTTTGAAAGTCAAAGAATGTGATGTTTATCCATGCTTTAAAAACCTTTCATTCTATGACACTTGGAACAGATTTTTATTCAATGATCAGGATAATGATGAAAAAGCCATTCTGTCCAGTAATTTCAAATTTTCTAGCAAAGCAAGGGAATTCAATCAATATATAATCTCACAGCCAGATATGTAATGTCTATAATCTCAAATATATTTGAGGTGAAACACACCAAACCAACTAGCTGTACTGGTGCTGACTGAGATACTGATGAAGCCCAACTGCCGACCCTCAGTTTGGTGTGTCCTGACCTTTACATGTTACTTCTTAATTGGCACATTAATGTTAAGTTACTTTATTACTTGGCCATCTGAAATACTTGATTTCGATTGGTCAGTTGTGACATTGCAAGTGATGTTTGGATCCAGGCCCTACAAATCTTTTAGACTGTACATTCACGCCCATGTACATACATCCAAATTCATATATATGCTTATTTGTTACTCCACTGTTTTTGATGGTTTAGGGCCGTTTTTTGACTGAATAATAAGAAGGTTAGTGTATGCTCTGTTCAGACAGTTTCATTTCTTTTAGTTTTGCATTTAATTAAGTAATTGGTAAACTGCTATGGTATAAAACATGACCAATTTGTAAGTTTTACTTTTTCACAAAATAAAGCCCTTCAGTCTTATACAAAAGCTGATAAACCTATTGGGCTTTTTACTGTGATAACAACCGCCTGGATGTACTTTATCCCTTACATAATACAGTGTGTTATGTGTATGTGTGTGTTCATTAAGTCTTGAGAATAGAGACTATTCTGTAGCTTGGTTGTAAACTGCGGTCAGTGCTGTGTGGTCTGTTTGTCTTTCACTTTGTAAACCAAGATTTATTGTCTCTCTCACTCTTTCTCTCTCTCTTACCCTTCTTCTCTCTCCTTTTGGTCTGTAGGACGAGGCCAGCACTCTTAGGTTACTGAAGGAGCAGTTGGCTTTAGAGCAAACAGTGGAGAATTATGCAGAGACAGTGGGCTCACTGTCCCAGCAGTGCCGTCGCATGCTTGAGTTGGGACATCCAGACAGGTAAATATAAATTGCTCACTTGTAATGTCTAAATTGGGCATGATAAAACGCATATCTTCCAAGTTTATTTGAGCTTTTAACCCCATGAACCACAAGAGTGACAGGCACATTTAGGCACACTACATTTAATCATTAAAATTCTCTGACATGCTGATGCATGCCCCTCCGTACAAAAGCAGGTCAGAAAAATATTTGAAAACTGAAGACCTTTTGGAAAAAAATTACATGTATACTGGAAGGACATGTATATTGTTACAAAATCTCAAATAAAAGCTTTTCTTTTGAACTTTCTATTGATCATAGAATCCCAAACATATATCCACAAAAATAATATGCAACACAATTTTTTTTAGAATGATAAGAAATGTTAATAATAACAATAATGATGATAGATGCTATTTCAACACCCAATGATACATCATATTACAATAATAGCTGAAGCATGGTGTGCACTGAGAACTGAAGCAAGACTGTTTGACTGATTGACCTAGACACTGAAGGTCTTTTTTTTTATTAAAATTTTGCTTTGCCTTTGCAGAACTTGATTACATAGCACAAGAGGCTTCTTTTTTACATCACAGAATATATATTTGCTGTTGAATGACTGTGACCGCTTTTCAGAATAATTTAATAATTTTTGCCTTCTTCTGTTTCTCCTTACTCTCTTAGTGAGCAAATCACCAAGCAGCAGGCTCATATAGACCGGCTATACGTATCTCTGAAAGACCTGGTAGAGCAGAGGAAAACAAAACTGGAGCAGCAGTACTGGTTATATCAGCTGAAGCGAGAGGTGGAGGCACTGGAGAAATGGATCTCTGAGAGGGAAGCTGTTGCCAGCTCCACTGAGCTCGGCCAGGACCTGGAGCATGTCACGGTAATACACTCACTTACACACTGTCAAGTGTTTTTAACTCCAAGTATGTCATATAAATGTCGTTTACACCTGGTATTACCATGCATTTTACTGATTAGCTGAGACACTACAATGTTTCCACCTGGTGTTTATATTTTGCTAGAACATGTCTCATGTGACTACTGTTCAGATTTCATTGAGTCCCTTCCCTATAAATACAACACACTTTTACATCACTTTTACAAGAGTGCTCACTTCAACAATCAAAAGAATGTGGATGGCAACTTCCATTTAAATTAAAAAGAAGTATGAATACCTTGTTTTTTTGATATCTCACAAATCACATAATTCGCACGTTAAATCAGTATGCAGACAGTAGGTGGTCATTTGTTTGAACTCATTCAACCACATGGACATCTTACAATGGGAATGCAATCTTATCAAACATGTTTTCACATATACTGGAAGTGGTCAAAAGTGGATAGGCTCAGAAACAGGCTAGAGTCTAGATAAAAACAAAATGACAACTTAATCACTTATTTTATAGAGCACAAAACAGCAGCAGCCATTGACCTTTGTGCTGTACACAAACTGTAAAATCTAAATTAAATAAAAATGATTAAATAAAAGTCAAAGGAATGAAACAACCTAAAATAAATAAAACATGGAACATGTATATATTTCAAAAAGGTTAAGTTTCAGCTTCTCCTTAAACAAGGATTTTGTGGAGATTATCATAATGGAAAGAGGTAGAATAATCTACAATTTGGGACAGACATTTGCAAAAGCCTTAACTTTAAGTTTCTGATTTGACCTTAAACGTCCAGCAGATATGGCGCCAGTCCAAGTTCTATTAAATAAGAAGGTGCTGGTCCATTTTAGACCTTAAATCAAAGGGTACAATGGGTGTCAGTAACTGGAAATATTGTTTAGTAACAAAAATTGATGTTCTTGCATTGTTTTAGGCTACTCATCGCCTTGGAATTATAAGGTTATGTCTGTGTTCTAAATGATTTTGAGATGTTGAGCTTCAAATATTTTTGCATTCCATATAGCAAACAATACGCGTGTAACAGTTCTCTTTCATTCATTAACATGACAGAGACTCTAAATCTTCTCTAAACATAAATTATCAAAATTCTCTTAAGTTTGCAAATTGGGGTAAAACAAACAAATGCAGATAGAACCTTCTAATTCTGAAAAGACATTTTCTGCTTGGAATTATACAGTTATGTCTGGCAGATCATTAATCGAAGCATTACTTTTCAAGAAATACATTCACAAAAAAAATAAATAAAATGGTTTTGTAACAATATGTTGATGCTTGAGAAAGTTACATTTTTGCTTGCTATAAACTTTATTTAATGTTTTTGCATGAATATTTTTTTTGTTCAAATAAAAGTTAATTTTATATTATTTTATGGTAATATTTATTGAATTTTATGCTTTATGTGAACTACTGAATTATACTTATTGAATTATATGCCTCATGAGTTAAATGAAGTATTTGCCCTTCATGGCTTATTATCAATTTTAAAGACTTTAAAGGAAAACAGCAAATAATTTTAATAAACACTGAAAAATGTTTTACTAACTTTATATACACAAATAAAATTATTTCACATTTTATATATATATATATATATATATATATATATATATATATATATATATATTTTTTTTTATAACATAATATTGATAATATTTTTAAACAATGTAAAATGTTACATTTCATCTCAATATTAAAAAAAAAACTTAAATCACCACATTTACACACATCTTTTCAGTTCCAGGATTCTTCTCAATTTTGTGTAGTACAGCATTACTTAGTCGACTCTGATTTTGTGTTTCTTTCTGGTCTTACCCGCTGTCAATGTCTGGTTAAACGTCAAAGAAAGCTGATCCTGATTGGTCCTCATGCGTGCATTCGAAATGCTGATTGGCTCATAGAAAGAACCTTATAAGCCAAGCTAGAGCTTGACTTTGCTTTGTAGATAAAACCTTTTTTGTTTACAAATAAAAAGTAAACAACTCATAAAAAAACATCACATAATGTAAATAAGTTGTAATTTAAAAAGAATTTGTGAATAACTCAGTTTTGACAAAAATGTCAGATAGAACTGTATAATTCTAAGTTGATGTACTGTTGAATGAAAATGCAGCATCTAAATTTTTAATATGTAAGCACATTAAATTTTGCATGTGGATAAAATCAAGTCCTGTGCTAATGGATTTCCTGTTTTTCTGTGAGCTCATTTCTGACATACAATTTTTGTGCTGTTTAATTTCTCAGGTTCTTCAGAGCAGCTTCACGCAGTTTTCCTCTGAGACACGTGCAGTGGGCCAGAAACAGATGGATTCAGTCAATAAGATGGTGAATGAGATGATCGACTGCAGTCACTCTGATGCTGCCACCATTGCAGAGTGGAAAGACGGACTGAACGAGTCCTGGGCGGATCTACTGGAGCTCATGGAGACCAGAGCGCAGATGTTGGCAGCATCCTACCAGCTGCACAAGTTCTTCACTGACTGTCAGGAGGTATACAGACTTGTACTATATACAGTTGTTATTTTAAATAATATTTCATTAGAAGTGTTAAAAATCCTCTGTGTTTTGGCTATTTAGGTATTGGTACAGATAGAAGGAAAGATGAGACAGCTGCCAGAGGTGAGGTCCTGCCAGGTGAGCTCGGCCAACCCTGGCACACTACAGAGACTCCTGCACTCTTTCGAACACTCTCTGCAGCTGCTGGTCTCGCAGGTAAGACTCAATTACACACACACACACACACACACACACACACACACACACACACACACACACACACACACACACAAAACACAACACACAACACCTGTTTTGAGCAGGTGCAGCAACCACGGGGAAGTGTTTAGGCTGGTTCATCTACCTGACCCAGCAAGAGGGGTTCCCATTTTAGTCCATGAGCACTAAAATACTGACAAAAAAACTGTTTCAAATATCACACACTAATACTGTGCAAACAATAAAGTTAATTGTATCGTTTTATCTATTTGTGACATCTTTCTTTAGATCAGCGGTCTCAAACGCAATTCCCAGTGGGCCAGAGCTCTGCACAGTTTAGCTTCAACCATCTCCAACTCACACACCTGCTTGGAAGTTTCTTGTAATCTTAAAGACCTTGATTAGATTTGTAGAGTTGTGGCCTTCTAGGAATTGAGTTTGAGATCAATGCTTTTAGGAGGTTTATTCAATCATTCATTTTCTTGTCAGCTTAGTTCCTTTTATTTATCCGGGGTCGCCACAGCGGAATGAACCGGCAACTTATCCAGCACATTTTTACGCAGCGGATGCCCTTCAGGCCGCAACCCATCTCTGCGAATCATCCACACACACGTTTACACACACACTTATACACTACGGCCTACCCAATTCACTTGTACCATATGTCTTTGGAGTGTGGGGGAAACCAGAGCACACGGAGGAAACCCTCGTGAACGCAGGGAGAACATGCAAACTCCACACAGAAACGCCAACTGAGCCGAGGATTAAACCAGCAACCTTCTTGCTGTGAGGCGACAGCACTACCTACTGCGCCACTGCGTCGCCCCTTTTAGGAGGGTAAATCTTGCAATTGCACATGCAAGTTTGGCATGTAATTATGGATATTACCTTTTTCTCCTCTCAGAAATTTAAGTTAAATTAAATTTAATCTCACAATTCCAACTTTTATTCTCAGATTTCTAAGAAGAAAACATTTATTATTCCTTTCTGAATTCTGTTGTTAGTGTACTTTTCTCAGTCATGACACTTATCTCCTACATCACTGATAAATGCTGAATTTTCAATTTGTGGATGTGTGTGAAAATGTAACATTCAGTCGTGCATTTAGTTATTTTTTCATGGCCATTTCAGTCATTAAACAGTAAACATCTGTCATCTTCTCACCAGTGACATGCAGCTTAAACAGTCTCTGAGTCATTGTGTCATTAAAGATCTTCTTGGACACTTTTAATGCTTTTAAATGTTTAGCTGCATTTCTGTAGCATCCATGTCTTGAAGTTGTTTAGTATTTTGTAATTAAATTGTCACACTTTACAATAAGGTTTATTATTTAATGTCAAATAATGCATTTACTAACATGAACAAACAGTAAAAAAATACATTTACTATAGTATTTATTCATGTTAATAAACGTTAGTTAATGAAAATACAGTTGCTCATTGTTAGTTCATTTTAACTCATGGTGCATTAACTAATGTTAACAAACATGGACTTAAATGTTAATAATGCATTAGTAAATGTTTAATTATGATTAATAAATGCTGTACAAATGTTGTTCAGGATTAGTTCATGTTAGTAAATGCATTAACTAATGAACCTTATTGTAAAGTGTTACCAATTAAATTTTTTTGTGATTTGATTGGACAGGAATCACATGACTGATTTTTCTACTTTAGCCAACCCCCATAGACAGGAAAAAATGCTGTTTTAAATATGTGTTCTTCAGCGATCTTAAATCCTTGTGTTCTTGTGTAATGCCATCATTAACTGCCAAAGTTCAGTTTCAATACTCAAGACCGCAAGTACAGAAGACACCTGAAAGTTCCTGGATGTGTTCTTGATATCGAGGACGCATCGATGCAGACCGATACAGCATTAAAAATGTACTCAAAGGAAAGTAAAAATACACATTTTTACAACTACTAAGTAAATTGCAATCCCCGAAAATACCTACTCAATTACAATAATTGAATATTTTTAATTTGTTACTTTACACTAGAGATCAGTTTTTTTTGCCCTCGAGCCCAAGTCATTTGATAATGAGTATCTACTGAGACTAAAACCCGATCCGATACTTTTATAATACATTAAAAATAATTTTAAAAAGAGTGAAGAAACAGATCCAGGGTGTTCCTTATTCTTTATTTATTTCCCCATTAATTTAATATTTAACAACTCTGTTAACAAACAGCACTACCTACTGTGCCACTGTGTCACCATTTACTGCAACAGTAAATATAAAAAAATCTAAAATAAAACAAATAGCACCTCAACTTAAAATACCTGATCCCACAAAAACCAATCCCAAGTTACATATCTCACAGTTTGGCAATGTTGTCATCAACTTTATAATACCTCCAGACTGCAGACATACTCGCGCTTTCTGCTTCAAACTGCTTCCGTGTTTACTTTGCTGGCCTTTAACCAATAGCGTTCCTGCAACAAAGTGATGTCATGCCACACGCGTTGCTGTTTCTATGTAGAGTCAAGAAAGATGTCTAACTCTGTGCCACCACATAACTATAAATGTGTCAAAAAATATATGTGTATATATATATATATTTGAGTGCTTATCTGGAGGTAACATCGAATCTGGACATGCCCACTTTACACAATACTCAACCACTGCCATTACCGTGTTAGATTAGGTCATAGCAACATTGTTGCTGCTATGCTAATTACTAATAATATTATAATTTTGTGGAGCATAAATATTATAATATTATACAACTTTATTGTAAAGCTGCTATAAAGTGGCTTCAAAACATCAATGAATTAGGTTGTAGATTAAATATATCTAAAATACATTTATGTGCTTACAATACAATTTTTCGTCCATCAGCCAATTCAAATCTAGCTTTGCAGCAGCTTCAAAATGCTTTTCAAGTATTGCAGCAGTTTTACCTTTTACCCCCTCAGGTACGCCAACTGCAAGAAAATGCAGTTCAGCTACGTGCAATCTATGCTGGGGAGAAGGCAGATGCCATTTTGAGCCGTGAGCAGGAAGTGATGCAGGCCTGGAAAGAGCTCCTCGTTGCATGTGAGGGCAGCCGTGTGCAGGTCACCACTGTAACCGATAAGATCCAGTTCTTTGCGGTGGTGCGGGAATTGAGCATGTGGATGGATGGAATCATGGGGCAGATTGGCCCAAATGACGATGCAAGGTACCAGATCATTTATAGAACTCTCTGAGTCATCCCAAATAGATGGTTAGATTAAAACCAATAACAGTAGACAATGTGCATCAGGGTAATGTGTCTGTGTGTTTCTTGTTTGCGTCTGGGCGTGGGCTTTGGTGTTGGGTGGGTCCTTGTGAACGTGTCAGGGACCTCTCAGTGCTAGAGGGCATGATGTCCCAACATCAGAATCTGAAGAGTAAGATGGAAAACAAGAGCAAGAACTTTGTGCACTGCGTGGAGATGGGAAAAATGCTGCTCGCTGCGCGCAACCCTGCAGCTGAAGAGGTGCACACATATTCTCATACTAAGATTTAAAGCATGCAAACAATGCATCCTTGATGAATAAATGCATTTGTTTCTTTCTAAAATAACAAACGTCTATTAAACTGTTAAAATCTAAGGATCTCAGTTTTTTTATTTGCTATTTGATTGTAATATTAAATACGTCTTAAAAGACATGAAATATAAATAAAAAAACTGTTGTTTAGGTTATTCTATTATGCAGCACACATGTGGAAGGAACACCCTCACTTTATGCCCCTGCAATGAGTATGAATACTTTTCCCAGCATTCTATTCATTAAAATGATTACAATATCCATACCCTCTGATCCAGGTGAAGGAAAAGCTGGAGTATGTCATGGCAAAGCAGAAAGAGATGAATGAGCGATGGGACCTGCACTGGGAGAAGCTTCAGCAAGGTCAGTGATAATGTTGTTGTAGTATCATGTTAAAGGTCTGCCAAGCTGATTTTTCCTCATACTTATCTACAATCTTTCTGGTGTTCTCCAGCCAAGCAGAGGCTGCAGTCCACTCAGACGGGATTGACGGAGCAGCCCTGGCTCACAATCAAGGAACCAATTACTCCAATCACCCGTGAGGCAGGGGGCGGGACAGACGAGGTGGAGGAGCTGATTCGCCGGCATGAAGCATTCCGGAAAGCTGCGTCCACTTGGAAAGACCATTTCAGCTCTTTACGACAGGTTATTATCACATTATCGTCACACTCAAAACAGAAAATATGACTTGAAATTTTCATGTTAAAGAAGGAAGATGGAGCCCCAAAATCACTTATTTTGTTACCATGGGACAGTGGCAGTTTCTACCTCATAATTCAGTATATGGTCAACTGCATATGACTAAGTGCATATGGTAGAAGGCACGTCCTAAGTCCCTGTGAAATGCATACATTCATGCATATCTTAATAGATCAGGTTTAATTCATTAACATAGCGATTATCAATTACACTTCAACAAGTTGTTTCACTTTTTACCCACGGCACATGGTTGCCTACATGTGACAAAAAAGAGATTTTAGACATTATTTGTATTTACCATACACTGTTTCTGTTCAATTGGTAAAAGTTTTTTGAAAAACAAAAAACACTTAAAAATAAAAAAAGAAATCCACCACTATTTGTTTTACTTTTATTCTGTTGAGGAGCTTTGTGCACCCACTGTCAGGTAAAAGGCTGACATTTTGTACAATATTGGCAAAGCACGTTAAATATGAATAAAATATGTAATTAACATCAAATTAATATATATATCTGTCTGTCTCCATTTACAGGCAGAAAAGATGAAGGAGGAACTGAACAAACCACCTTCTACCTCCTCTCTTCTCAGCAGGCAGATGTTCCCTCTCTCCTGTCTTGTGCCCAGCTCTTCTTCCTCCTCTTCATCATCATCTCTTTTCCGTAACCCCCTTCAGGACTCACTCCTCGAGTCTAAGCCTGGACCAGACCACATGCACTCCATAGAACACACAGTGACTCACACTCTCCCTCAGCGGCTTGGGTCCAGCCTGAACCCCTACACACCTGTTATGAATGGCTCCTCCTACCATGGGCTACAGCAGCCATCGGGGGTCGTCAATGAAAGTCCTTTATATCAATCGATAAAACAACAGGGTGTTTCAAGTTTGGATAATTCCAGCTATCAGGGGCTTAACCAACAAGTTGGTGTCTTTGGGGGGAACAGCTCCAGCTATACTGGACTAAATCAACAGGGTGCTTTAGCAGAGGACGGCTCCAGTTACCATAGCCTGAACCATTTAGGTGCCGTAGGGGTTGTGGAACCCAAAATTGGATATGCTTGGCAGCATCTGAAAGCTGACTGCTTTCAGCCCAAAATCAACCACATTCACAAAGCGGTTTCACCTTTACTGGAGGCCCACCGAGCTCAGCTTGCTAGCGCAGGAGCAAACATGCCGGCTCCTCCAGTGGGCATGGACCCCTCGCTGGAGATGATCCACAGTCGTTTACAAAGAGACCCCCGGGGGAGCCGCTCTGACCCACAGATGGATCACCTGCGGCGGGAGAGGGAGTACAGGCTAGGCAGACAGACTTCCAGCGAGCAGGAGATCCAGGCTCGACTCAACGAGCTGCCGTTGATTGTTCGGCAGGAGCGCTACCGTCGAAGAATGGAGAGACAGTCGTCCAGTGAGCAGGAGGCCAGCGGAAAGCAGAGAGTGCAAAAACATGACTCCAGTGATGCAGAATCTGGGAAAGAGCCATCTGACAAGAAGCCATCTGGGTGAGTGTGTGCTTGTGTTTGCTTGGCTTTAGTTTGGGGACTAAGATTGCTTTCTGAGATGTAAAAATAATGAATAAATTAAGTTAAAAAAAAAATCTATGTTTTTAGGGCTTTTATGCCTTTAATTTTGACAGGACCATAGAGAGTGTAGACACTTAAGTGCTAGATGTTGGTATGCTAACTGTGAGGCTATTGATGCCGATTGGGTTAATATTAAAGGGCACCTATGATGAAAACTATCTTTTGGAAGCTGTTTTAACAGAAGTGTCCACAGTCATATTGGGGTGATATAAAGACTTTATGTGTGCTTTCACACCAGTGTGAAGTTAAACAAGTAAACAAGTTTCTAAATGGCCCAAAATAGCTAAAACAAGTCACATGCGAGTAAACTCTCCTCACATTGGTCAGAGTTTCACAGTATTTTTTTGCAGTCCCACTCATCTGTCATGCGTCCTTATTTTAATTTATGAAAATGAGCAATCAAACAATATAAATGAAAAGCTGTGCTTTAATTTTGAAAAGTGACACCCACTGACATCATCATCATTAGATATAAATCAGTTGTAAGACTTGCTCATGCCTAGCAGTTGGCTTATGCATTATAGGCTTTACATTATGGAGAGAAATAACGAATAAACCAAGACTGCAGTTCAGTCATTTTTCCTAATGAATAAACAGCATTCGGAAATATTTCAGCATGCTTTCACTTTCACTCATTTAGGTGATCATGGCGTGTTTTGGCGTGGATCCGAGCGTGATTGATGGATTCACATATGCCAATCGAACCGCACTGACTGGGCAAATGCACCAGGTTCCGAAACAAAAGTTTAGGTGTAAATGATCCCTAAGTCTCTTTTTTAAAATTTCCTGACGTTAAAATAGGATCCAAATCCCTGTAATTTTTAGGTCCACTGCAACGTGACATAGGAGTGCGGTTTCCTCGCCCACCCAACTGTGTTTATAATGAATTGCAGCGATTTTACCATCTAAATCACCACAGCCACATGTCAGTACAATTACAATAGAGGATACTTCAATCCCAGTTTTTGGACATTGAATCAGATTTAATTTGTGTATTAACATAACGGATATCCATACAGCAGTGCATATTAATGTGTATCCTGTCACATTTGCGTGCAAAAACAGTGCAAAGTTAAACACACATCCTGTGTGTGTGTGTGTGTGTGTGTGTGAATGTCATTGTGTGAGACTCATCGAAAGGCTTGAATTAGCTCCACAACAAATACATTAAATAATCATTGGGAAAGTTCTTACTGTAGTATTCGTCACAAACGTTACGTGAGATCTGCTTCCTTCATGTCTGTCACTGTGCTCTTTATCTGACAGCTGAGGCACAGTCTGACAGGCACGTAGGAACGGTGGGCGAGGAAAACTAGCATTAAAGTCACAGGCAACGAAAACAGCTACATTGTGTTCAGAGCAGAAAATTCTAATGTTCTGAAAGGTATAATAAATTATTTGATGGGTGTTTTGAGCTGACATTTTACAGAAACATTCTGGAGACACAAAAGAATTCTGTTAAATCTTGGAAAAGGGGTAAAATTGGTGCCCTTTAAAGATACCCATGAGGGAAGCAAAACTTAAAATCAGTTACCAGTTAAGTGAAGCTTAACAACCATTTGAATTAATTAACAGATCTGTTTTGTTAAAATTATTTTCTGTTCATTGAAATAAAGCCAATAAAATGAAATATTAATATTACATGAAAAAATGTTTATTTTTTAATGAAGTTCTAAAATGACTAAAACTGAAATGAGAAAGAAGCTAAATTAAAATAACGGATGACAGAAGTATTTAAGAATTAAAATTAAAATAAAAAAATTATAACAAAAACTCATTAAAATAATATATAAAATATTGTTTCGAGAGGGTTATATTTATGGTTAGGCAAATAGAAGAAAACATATTTGTAAAAGTAAATAAAAATCATACGGGTAAGGAAAGTCAGTTTGTGCATGTGGGTGTTCTGATTTGTTCATGGGTATCTAAATTCGCTGGCTTTCTCAACTGTTTTCTATTTCAGGGAGAAGCGTTCCACTATGGCTGAGATTGTTGAGCAAGTGCAGGAGAGAGAAGCTTGCCATGTATGTGTCATATGTCTGTACTGGATTCAGTGTTTTCAGAGGTTTATTTTACATCATGCATTTCATTCCCTGCTATTATTTAAACTTTTAAACTATACATTGTTTTTAGGGATTTTTGAAAACACAGTAAAAGCAGTAATATTTTCAAATGTTATTACAACTTTTTTCTGAATGAATATATTTTTCCCTCATAATGTTACCTATGTAGTAGCACAGCTGTTTTCATCAAACACATTTGTCATTGTCACATTATGTGAATGATTTGGAAGCTATTTGAATATGATGATTAGGTGCTCAGAAAACAATATTATTGATGCTGAATAGGCTGTTTGGTAACAATCTTTACTATATAGTATTTACTTTTACTTTATATCAATTTAGTCCATCTTTGCTGTTTAATAAAATTATATTTCCTTCTAAACAAATATCTTATTGACCCCAAATATTTAATGGGTAGTGTATATAAAACGTAATATTATTATTATTATTCAACACAGCACTGATTAAATTTGTTCAGTCATTTGTATCATCCAAAGAGAAACAATTGTAGACTCACTGCAGGTACAGGGCTTCTGAAGTGTCTTGCTCAAGGGCACAATGGTGATAGAGCAGAACTGTGATCTCAGTAATTCTCCACTTTCTGGGTCACCTTGCATCCTCTGAAACTTAGGACTGATCCCCAAACATTTTAGTCAGCAGCTTAGAATCTGTAGTATCTTCATTTCACTGCTCATGTAAGATGAATATAATGTGATTCACAACACACCTAATTTCCATATACAGCCATTCATAATGTTTTTTTTTTTATTATTATTTTTATAATAAACTATTCTGTCTCTTACATGCATACTCATTCCATTTTCAGGCGAGAGGAGAGGTTTACAGACCCGCCAGTAGCCTCTCTGCACCAGTCAGTCGTCTAGATCGTCCTCGAGCACGTGACCGTCCCAAACCACGAAGAAGGCCTCGTCCAAAAGAGCCAGAAGAGCCACGGAGGTCACGCTCTGCACCTGCACAGAGTGTCCCTTCTACACCTCAACCTCCGACTCACACCGTCCACCATGAGGGCTTCCTGTACAGGAAACACGAAGAGGAGGGGAAAGAGAGAAGCCCAAACAGGTGTGTTTTTACTAGCAGAAAATAGCTAGTATCTGAATGCATGCATGCATAAACTGTTGAAGGGGTCCTATTATTATTTTTACACTTTCAACCTTTTTTAGTGTGTAATAGTGCTGTTTGAGCATAAAAAAGTTCTACTAAGTTACAAAGTCACTCCAGAAGGAGTTATTCTCTACATCAGTGAGTACTGTTTCTGAACTGGTGTTTTCATCCTCTTTTTGCATCACAGTATCCCAAATTTAAATAATTGCAATACAAAGCAGTCCAAAAGGAGAAAGCTTAATTGAGATGTGTTAGAAATGTGTTGCCACCATGTCCAAAAGATCCTGTTTTTCCACATATTTAATATACTGAAACACATGCAGTTTCTTGCCCAACTGTTTACATTCACAGACATACCCACCATTGTGTGGTCTTTCTGTGTGGTTTTGAATGCATTTGCATGTTGACAGATGCAAAAGAAACCTATGCAATAGACAATTAGAGTTTAAACTGCTAAGGCCTTAAAAATACACAGAGATTATTATTTGTTGCTGCTGCTGGAGTAGCCATGATCCAAACTGTAAAGGGTCTGCCCACGTCTGCAAATGTGGGCTGGGAGAAGTAGCTTATTTGGATTTAAAGAGACACACAAAATTTGTTTTTGATTTAAACAAAAAGAGCTCAGAAAATTGTACAGTTGAAATCAGAATTATTAGCCCCCTTTGCATTTTTTTTTCTTTTTTAAATATTTCCCAAATAATTTTTAACAGAGCAAAGAAATTGTCACAGTATGTCTGATAATATTTTTTCTTCTGGAGAAAGTCTTATTTGTTTTATTTCGGCTAGAATAATAGCAGTTTTTAATTTTTTAAACACCATTTTAAGGCCAAAATAATTAGCCCCTTTAAGCTATATTTTTTTATTAGTCTACAGATCAAACCATCGCTATACAATAACTTGTCTAATTACCCTAACCTGCCTCTTTAACTTTATTAACATAGTTAAGCCTTTAAATGTCACTTTAAGCTGTATAGAATTGTCTTGAAAAATATCGAGTCAAATATTATTTACTGTCATCATGCCGGGCTGCACAGTGGTGCAGTGAGTAGCACGTTTGCCTCACAGCAAGAAGGATGCTGGTTTAAGCCTCGGCTGGGGCAGTTGTCGTTTTTCTGTGGACCGGGTGTTCCAGTTTTTCTACAGTCTAAAGACATGTGGTACAGGTGAATTGGGTAGGCTTAATTGTTAATTGTATGTGTGTGAATGAGTGTGTACGGATGTTTCCCAGCAATGGGTGGCAGCTGGGAGACCATCCGCTGCGTAAAACATAAACTGGATAAGTTGGCGGTTAATTCTGCTGTGGCGACCCCAGAGTATTAAAGGGACTAAGCTGAAAAGAAATTTAATGAATAAATGAATGCCATCATGGCAAAGATAAAATAAATCAGTTATTGGAAGTGAGTTGTTAAAACTATTGTGTTTAGAAATGTATTGAAAAAAAATCTTTTCTCCATTAAACAAAAATTAGGGAAAAAATAAACAGGGGGGCTAATAATTCTGACTTCAACTGTATGTGATGTGTTTTGAGCTGAATATTATAGACATATTTTGAGGACACCCAAGACCTAAATTATTTAAATTTTTTAATCACATATTTTAATCGATTTTCAACTGACTCACGGTGAATCGTTAAATCCCTCATTTTAAACTTAGAGATTGATTGCATTCTAGTGTAGGATGACCTACATCATGAAAAAAAAAATAAAAGAAATGAAATCCCAATGCAATTGATGAAATTAGAGTGATATACAGTAGGTGATACATACTGCATCCAGTATTATGTTTTAGTTGACAGCATGCAGCACACTAATTTCAAGTGTAATTTAAGGATTAATCATCTATCTGTCACTCTATATATCATTACTGACCATATTAGACCACTATTTTACTACAAACCTGTAGTGTTTAGTATCTATTAATAGTAGCTGTTCTGTTCTGAGTGTGTTTGTCTGCTAATTTTACTTCTGAATGCATTGGTGAAGCCTTATCTGTATTTCTAACCTGTTACAGTAAATCGTGGGTAAATCTATTCTGCGTGCTCAAACAAGGGGAGATCGGTTTTTACAAGGATGCACGACACACAACCACACCCTACAATGACGAGCCTCTTCTTAACCTTGCCATCTGCGAATTTGACACCACCAATGGATACAAAAAGAAGAAGAATGTCTTCATTCTCAGGTAAAACTAATGTCTATTGCCTATCACTCCACAAATGCAACTACAAACAACTATGCAGGGAATTTATTGGCCATTTAGTGAAGACACCATATTGTTTTGCAGCTTTTGTGTGGATTTGTTTTTTATTAAAGCTCAAAGATAAATTGGATTGGACATCGTCATCATCATCATCAAATTCAGCACAAGTGAATTAAATAGATGGAAAGTAACAGCAAAAATGTATAAAGCTTTTTATTGGGTTTTTGAACTCTACCTGTTTTCTGTATTGAATATAGGAAGTAATTCCTGTGCACCAAATCAGCATATTAGAATAATTTCTGGAGTAATAACTGATGAAAATTCAGCTACAATAAATTTTATTTTAAAATATATTTGAATAGAAAACATTTTTGGTTTATTTGGCACAATATTCTACAACTTTACTGATTTTACTGTATTTCTTATAAGATAAATACAGCCTTGGTAAAGCCCCGGTCAGATCACATGATTTTGTTTTGATTTCAGCTTGATTTCCTCGACGTAGGATGTTGTGGGGAGTCGGAAATGACAAATGGGTCTCATGTCATGAGTCAATTGTTTCTTTTCGTGTAATGTAGCATAGTTCACGATAACCGATACGATGTTTGCGACGCTTCATGAGCCATGACACCACCACAGAAAGTCTAGCATGTTTAATTTTTTCCCTGATCTTCACGACGAGTTCCTTCTCGTTTGTGACACTGGACAACAGGAGCTCATAATATCTCAGTTATATCTGGCAGGTGCTGGCATTAATCCACGAGTCAGTTAATCAAAAAATAGACTACATATTTATTTGTGGGTGGGTCTCGGGTGGATAAGATCAATCATTAATTATGCAAACTTCAACTACTTTCTCTAAAATTTTAAAGTGTTTTAAGCTAATTTATTTGACAGACTGACACAAATATGCAGACAACTTCATTCTCATGAGTTTCTGAGTTCTTTCATCCCTCCAAGAGTTCCTTCTTCCGAGGTAATCTGTAAACATGTTGAGTGCTGCTAATACAATGTAAAAGCCTGTCTTGCTTATTCAAATTACTTGATTAAACTAACTAAATTGAATCTGACTGGCACAATGGATGATTTTGTCATTGAAAATGAAAACAGTTTAATATAACCTTCAGTGAAACTGTGAATATTTCACTTTAATTTTATTTAGGCTAGATTTTATTTGATTTAATAAACCAGTTTCTGCTTTGGCACTGAAGCATATAGTGAACTGGTTTTGAAGCACTTCACCTCAGATGTTATTCATTATTCTTATTTATCTAGTAGAAAACTGACCAACAAAAGATACATTAAAAATAAGATACAAATTATACCAAGTGAAATTAGTATTAAAAAGATATTTTTTCTAAGATAAACATACAAATGATTTTTTTTTTGTTTTTGCCCATTCAGTACTCAACTGTGTGGGTGGATAAATTTGTTTCCATCTGTGGAAAATAAGTATTTTATTAATGCTTCACTGTAATTGCTGTATCACAAACTTATATTGCAAACGTATATTTGCATTTTTAAAAAATTTGTCCTTATTTTGTCTTGAGCATTTGATTTTTTCTTGGTGCTGATTTGCTTTCATTTTCTCTCACTCACGACAAGTTTTGATGAGGAAGTGTTTAATTAGCAACCCATGGCTGGAAAATATACATTTAGATTTGAAAGAAAATATCTTAATGTTAAAAAGGAAATATACGTTTGATCCTTTTAGTGTCATAACGAATGCCCTAAAATAATGTAGCCTAGCTGTCAGCAAGCATCAGTGTTTATTAAGATTGACATAAGATAAAAGAAACATTGAACTGAATAAGATAAGAAATATCATGATAACAACACTTGAGACAGCTTTGGGAAATAACGCTCATCATAGATGTCATGGGATGACTGATCGTGAAGGAACATATAGTCTAGCACACAGGTGTCAAACTCAGTTCCAAAAGGGCCGCAGCTCTGCACAGTTTAGTTCCAACCCTAATTAAACACACCTGATCAAACTTATTGAGTCCTTTAGGCTTGTTTGAAACCTACAGGTAAGTGAGTTGGAGCAGGGTTGGAACTAAACTGTGCAGGGCTTCGGCCCTCCAGGAATTGAGTTTGACACCCCTGGTCTAGCACATTTGTTAGCCACGACAAGTCAAGATTTTATCAAGACAAAAAATGCATAATCTGACCTTCATAACCGACAATAAAAATCGTGTGATCTGACTGGGGCTTACGCATTTGATTTGATTTTCAAAAACTTTTTTCTTAAAAATAATAACTAACCCCAAACCTTTAAACGTTAGTGTTCTGTACATCAAAGCCCCAAACTGATGTCATAGGCTTTTACCATTTACATTAATTTATATATTGATGTGTTTCGGTTATTTTCAGGACCACTGCTGAAGGGGACTACATCTTCCTGGCTAAAGATGAGGTATGTCACACAGAGAGTGCTAAAAGATCAGCTTTAGTTGTTTAAAATGACAATATTGCAGTTTTGTTGAAATTACAATTGACAATTGGCAATATTACAAGTGTGTGTCGTGTCTCACAGGAGGATCTGAAAGGTTGGGTCAACAGCATCAACGCTAGCCTGAAAGAGATCGAGGACATTGCCAAGTACGAGAAAGCCACAAACTCCTCCACCGACCCCGACAAATCAGAGCGCAAGGAGCGTTCTGAAGGGGCGGAGCCATCAGAGGGGGTGGAGAGATCAGAGAGGTCAGAGAAGTCTGAGCGTTCAGACCGATCAGATAAAATAGAGGCATCGGACAAAAGCTCCGAAAGGAGGGACGCATCTGAGAAGGAGAGAGGAGATAGAGGTGAACGAGGAGAGAGGGCGGAAAGAGGGGATCGAGAGAGGGGTGAGCGAGGAGACCGGGGTTCCAGAGGATCTAGCACTTCGGGAAAAAGCAAATGACTCATCTCTCAACACCTTTATTTACTCATCCATCCCTCCATCTTTCCAGAGAGAAGACAGGACTTGCATTTCTCTGTCTTTGTCGCTCTGTGTGTCCTGACAGCCTGATTTCAGGACCGATGTAAGTGATTATGTCCCTTCGAATGTGTCGATGTGTGTCTGTGTGCCAATGTGTTGAACAGAAGAATCTGTAGATGAACGTATCCCAGCATCAGAGGGCCCCGTTCTGACGCCCTGCTCGACTCTCACAGAAAAGGCACTTTAGATTATTGAGGATGACTATAGCCCTTAATATTTTAGAAGCGTTTTCTTGAAGCAATATATTGTATGTAGTAAACAAGGCCGCTTGTTTTAGCTGCTCTGCTCTTCCAAGCGAGAGAGAGAAAGAGAGAGAGAGAGAGAGAGAGAGAGAAGAAAAAGTAGTGGACTTTTTAAGAGAGAGAAATCTAGTGCGGCAGTAGGGACAGTGTTCCTCCTGATCGACATTCTTACACAGCCCCACACATGCATACGCACACGCACAGTGCATCATGGGAAAATGTTTGGTATGGAACACCATTCTCTTACCTGAGGCCGTACACGTCTTCCACCTGCTGCTTGTAGTGATGGTTTTAATCATGCGACGCTTCACACTGTTGAGGTGAGCACGATTCAGTCCAAACTACACTCGATGAAGATTCTCCATCACAATACGTCAATATAGCGTGGCAGTGTGTGTGTGTGTGAAAACAGCTCCATCAGAAAGGAGCTCAAATGTACTACTGTATGTATAATCTCACTGATGATCGTATTTAATAGGTTATCGCGATACCAATTTAAAGGTTAACTAAAAGGAAGTACGATCAAACACCCCGTGTACATGTACAAATATGCTGCTTTTTATCATCTCTGCCCCCCAACATCACTCTTTGATTGTAAAATGATTAGTACACATAAAATAGGGTGTCTGTGACTTTGTCATGCTATAAAGAAAAAAGATTGTATATATATATATTTGTATATATACTAGTAAACGAGATTTACTTCTATGAGCTGCAGCGTCTAATTACGAAGAAAAAAAACTATCATTTTTATTAACTTATGAAAATGTAACAGATTCAAATGAGTTGTTAAAGTGCCCCTGGCTGAATATAGACGGTAAACATGTGCGTTGGCCACTTTTTCCGAGATCTCTTGCATACGGAAACACAACTTTCAATGTTTACGGTTTGTTCGGTTTTTTGGTCAGGGCAAAAGATCCTTTTTACTGGATCCTTGTAAAAAGAAATCACCATTAAAATGTCTTCATTTTGATTTCGTTTAGATGTTGAGAGAGTTGTCTCTTGACAGCTGTTGCATTTACTGTGACAATGAGTTTTCTCATAAAACTATATAGGTGCAAATTATATTTACAAACAAAACATGAACAGAGATATCGGAATAAACCATAAATAAGTCTACATTTTCTTTTCTTTTTACATGTTTTGCCCTTCATTTTTGGATCTGATGGTTTTATGGCTTTACATTATGTTGTAAATGATTTTGGTGAGGTCAAGCTTTCTGCCTGTTTTCACTGCACAAACTCTCTATGGCCTCATTGTCTATGCAACAGCAAATATCAACATTATACTCCAGTGAAGACTCTTTCATAATACCCAACGCCGTCCACAAACCTCAGCTCATTTGATGGATTTCTGTGAATACTGAGGGTGCCTTATGAATGCATGTAATAGGCAGATGCGGGCACCTCATCCTTTAGGCAGTATGTTTTTGATATAACACACATTTCCAGATGTAATATCATCTTGCAGCAACAAAAATAACAACTAAAGAATTAACAATTGACCCTGCTCTAGTTAAACATGCAATATTGACCCGCATGTTGCCTGTCGAGCCAGTTGTGTGTTTCAGAAATGCACACTCCTTGTGATCACATAACACACAACGACCCCTCATGACAACAGAAAACAGTTGCACATTGATCATCGTGTCAGAAACTTCATAAATGTTTTGCACTGTGTATCTGTGTCTGATAAATGGGACTGAATGAATGTTGCTGTGTATTATGTGTCTGTCCAATCTTTGCTGAAGCAAACTCGCTCCATTCACCAGCTCCCCCTTCCAAAATCATAGCTGAAAAACTGATCTGGACTCACTTTTGGACTCTTCTACATTTCCAACATTTCTTTTAGAGTGACCTTCAGTATGGTCTGCCTGCAAAAAGCACAATTTCCCCCAAAACAGCAATCTGGAGTACTAGAAAAGACACTGGATGCTGTTCTACACCATGACGACCCCTGCGTTTCCAAATGATGCCACATGAGGTCAGTGTTGCAAAGGCATTGAAGTACTAAAAACTATTTCTTTTCAGAAGGCTTCATGATTGCTACACTTCATGTTTGTCTGTGATTTGCTACGCCTTGCTTTGTTTCTTTAGCAGTGTCGACCCCTTATTTCTTCGCTTGACCTCACCAGCAAGTCTTTATATTATTTATTAACTCATTAAAGAATGAAAAAAGCAAGCCCTAAAATAAACGGAAAGTATGGGTTGCCCTCGTTTATTCAAAGTCAGTTGTTTCACACATGAAATTAAAGAAAAACACTATTAAGTTGCATGAAAGAGAATATAGAGGTGATTTCTATGCAACAGCTGTGCATGTTTATCAAAAGGGTTTCAATCTTCAGCAAAGCACTGGGTTTGGATGATGATGATGTTGTTGATGATGGAGATGGAGAAATGTGTGGAATGAGCAGATCACTTGTATAGCTGAAATGAGACATTAAATCATTTATGTACTGATATCTGCACTAATTCATAAATACAGGTTGTATATATCAGCGTGCTGTGGAGTTTTTATTTTCTGTATCAAAATGTTAAATTTTTAACCAAAAAGCAGACATTTTGCAGAATGTTGAAAATTTTGTAGGGACAGATTTTTATAAACATCTTCATCATTTGTTCAGTTTAGTTCAGTTCAGAGTAGTTAATTTTCACTGCTGAAAGTCCAAAACACTGAAGAGCCATAAATGCACATGCAGCTTCACAAGACCCAAAACCAAGCAAGCCAGTGGTGACAGTGGCGAGGAACAAAGGGGATTAATTATTAACATTACCTTGTTTTTTATGGGGCCACAAAAACCACATAGTAATAATAATAAAACCTAGCTAGAGGTGTTTTTTTTTATTACACCAAAGGTAAGTTATTTTATTTAACTTATGTAACTGTAAAAAAGTTCAGTAACATATAGGCCTACATCTGTTTTTTTTTCTTTTTTTTTTCTTGAGGCTGTTTTGGTTTTGGTTTATGTTTAGTCAAACCTTTAAAGGGCACCTATGATGAAAATAATTTTTTGGGAGTTGTTTGAATAGTTAAAATTTGATCCAAATCCCTCCTGTTTTAAGGCTCACTGCAACGTGATGTTGGAATGCGGTTTTCTTTGCCCACTGAATTGATGGACAGCCGCAATTTAACATGTCTGTAGTAATGCATATAATCATATCAACAAGACAGGACGTGCACATAGCAACTGGGATCAAAAGATCTGTTCAGCTCTCTGTGATCATCAATCATCATCAAATGTGATTAAGAATAAGTTTTACAAGTTTAAAACATTTTTAAAACTGCATGGTTGTAATGAATTAGTGATATTACCGTATTTACTTTATCAGGAAAGCCATGTGTCAGTACAAATATAAAAGACACTTCAATCCCAATTTGTAAACATTAAATCAGGTTTATTTTGTACATTAACATAACAAATATCCATACAGCAGTGGATATTAATGTGTATCCTGTCATATTTGTCGTGCAAAATCAGTGCAAAGATAAAAGTTCAGTCTGTGTGTCCATGTGTGAACTTTGCAACGACATTGTATGCGATTCACTGAAAGGCTTGAATTAGCTCCACAACAAATACATTAAATAATCATTGGGAAAGTTCTTACTGTAGTATTTCTCACAAACGTTTTGTGAGATCTGCTTCCTTCATGTCTGTCACTGTACTGTTTATCTGACCCTGCCGCATCAGAGATTGAATCACACTCTGACAAGCATGTGAGAACGATAAGCAGGAAGAACTAGCATTAAAGGCACAGGCAACAAAAACAGCTACAATGTGTTCAGAGCAACAAAATTATTTTCTGAAAGATCTAAAAAATAATCTGATGGGTGTTTTAAGCTTAAACTTTACAGACACATTCTGGAGAGACAAAAGACTCATCTTAAATCTTGGGTAAAATAGATGCCCTTCAAACTAGATCATCGAGCCAGGCTGGTCAAGTTCAACTAAGATCTAACCAGCAAAACAAAAAGTTGTAGTCAGAAGCCCTCTAAAACCAGCTATGACCATACTGCAATTAATAGATTTTTTTTTTTAAATTTTGTCAGTAAGGTGGCTGTAGACGTCTAACAACTTGTAAAAATCTCACTACATTTTTAATTTAAAAGAATCATGATTCGTGTCACCAATAATCCAAAACAACAGCATAAGTAACATTACCTATATCATTACATAAAAAAAGGGGTTCTCAATATTGCACAGTACACTAACCACGTTCAACAGAGAGGCAGAACCAAAGCACAAGCAAAGAAGTTCTTCAAGAGAAACAAATTTATTAATTGCTCAAATGCTAAATGTTACATCTATATCATGTTTGTGTCTGGGTGCTTCTCTTATTCAGTAGGATGTTTGCTTTTTTTAACCAAGAATTCCTAGTGGGATTCCCAGGCCACAAGACTCAAAAAAAAAATGTTTCAAGACATAAGATAGTGCCACGGAAATAAAAAGAGCTGAACTGTAATGTTACATATGCTCAGCCATGAAATGGCACTATGTTGTTCATTAATTGTCCACTTTTTTATATTATTTTTTGATGATAATGTAATTTTTTTTACTAGAATATACAGAATATTTTTCATTTAAAATCTGAATATTATATAAGAATAAATTGTATTATAGCCTTTGCAGTTATACACTACAATATTTATTAATATAGCCTAATAATAAACATTAGTATGCAGGCAAATATTTGTGCAAAAACTTAATTCATTAGTTAAACTTAATTCATTTAATAACTACATCTCTGACTGTCATAAATTTGTATATAATTAGTAAAACAAAAACATTTCCACCAAAAATCAGTGAACTACAATACTCTCTTTGTAATGAAGATTATGAACCATTGCAGAGTGATAGATGTGTGTCAAGCCTCATCTAGTCAATGGTCAAACTGCACACCTTATCTCCAGAATTTCCGACCATTGGATTGACTATCAGGTGATTTCTCTGTAAAAAAAAGAAAGAAAAAAAACACATATTTTAAAGATTTAAAGTCTGTCAGGAGGACATACAGCAAACATATATTATTTACTTGGCTGATATTACATTTATACAGTAGAATAAACATAATGATACAAAGTCACCTACTTGGGTAGATTTTAAGACCTGTTTTTTTGCCCTGTAAAAGATGATTGCAACATTAGCTTCCACAGTTTATCAACTGAACGATCTTAAAGAAATTTTCATATTTTGAAGCAACTTGATATCCACACCTGCGCTATTAACCAGTTGACAGATTTGTCATATGCATCTGAATTCCTCTGACACTGCAGTAATCCTGCATCCTCATAGAACAGACAGTCCACTGTGAGCAGATTCTCCCTGTTGACAATTTTGCTGCTGTCTGATACAGTTTTCTCTGGGTCAAACGTGTGGTGAAGCACCACTAGAACAGTCAGCTTAGAGGCTGTTTAAAAAGACAAATGTGAAAAAAATATGTATCAAACTTATTTTGACCCAGTGTTTTGAAATTTAAAACGTGATTTAAAATACAATAAAATCAAACCATTTGTATAGCATCTGTGAATGGCTGCATCAATGTCAGTTCCAGCTCGAGAAACAATTGGACAGAAAATTAAAACAATGTCACTCTCGTCTACTGAACGAACTTCCGTCAGATGCTCAATTCGGGCTCGCAGTGATGCAATAAAATGTGTTTGACAGTTATTGGTCTTTCCAGCCAAAACAGTGCACACTTTGACCTCCTCTGAAGAATCAACTGCAATGGAATAAGCAAAATATAAGTATTACAGTTTATAAAACAAGTACAAATACAAACGTTTTAACAGAAACTGTCCTATTCTCCAGAATGGTGTCCTGACGCCTCATTAATAAAAATGCTGCACAGAAACTGTCCTATATATGATAATTTGCTAAATGTACATAAATGTGATCCAGAAGACCTGACATGCCAAGAATCCATCAAAAATGTCAATTTACTGTTTCCTCATTTGTGAAAGAAAAATCTCCATAGCTCTTTGGTGATTAAACACATCGGAGAAATTCTACAATCTCTGAACTATGTGCCTCACATGATCATTCACGCTCAGTCAGATGCTAGTATTTTGATGTGGGATCCCTAAATGTGGATTGTGAGATCCTACAGATGCTGCTGAGTTTACCTGATCCAACTGATCAAACTATCACTAGACTGACACAGGAACTCTGCATCAGGCTAGCATGACATTCAAAGTGACAAAAGTCAATTGCATTGGACCTCAGTGCAAAAAAAAAAAAAAAAGATGGCTTTTGACAGACAATGAAGGTGACAATGGTACCCTAGTAGCAAAGAATTCTGGCCCAGATTTGGCAAAAAGCTGGCACAGCAGGCATTCATCCGGCACTGCCATACAGCATGTGGGCCAAACATGGCCTGGGTTTGGCAGAGGTGGCACCGTTTTTAAGGCGGCACACAAGATTTGGGCCAGATGTAAAACGTAGTATTTGGCCCAGATTTAAAAATTTGATAAGTGGGCCATGTGAGTTTGGCCAGTCTTGACCCACATTTAAAATACACTAAAATAATTTTTGAGAAGAAAAAAAAATTCTACCAATCAGGTCAAATTGAGAAAAAGCGTGCCCATAGTGTGCCTAAAGCGCATCACTCCATGGGTTTATCAATTTCATTGCAATCATGACACACCAACCTATCTGGCCCACTTCAGGCCCAGTTATGAGTTATTACCTTGGCTGAGACTTGGCCCAGAAATGGTCTGTGTTTGGCCCTTGTCTGGAAGCCAGATTTGGTCCAGTCATGTAGCGTAATTCACTGCGGCATGTGGGCCAAGCAAAACCTGATTGTTCGGGCCAGAGCTGGGCCAGAGAAATTTTGCTATGTGGGTAACAGCCTGTGCAGAGACACTTTCTAGCACAAAATTTCTAGCACTTTGGCAAAATAATTTTCAGTGCACAAGATGTGCTTTTCTGACGCAAATAACTGTAAAGCAGAGCTTGTGAGTGCAACTCAGTGGCCAGAAGATTTTACAAAACCACTTTTGAAAAATCTGCTTAGTAGTTTGAATGTTGGTGTGAATTTTAGCATAGAAACACTTTAGGATCAAATATTTGTTTGTTTTGTAAATGAGTCACCAGAGACTGATAAAAAGACTGTAAGGCAAAAGACAGTAAAAAAAAAAAGTTACTAAACAAGCAGTTTTGTGTGAGACCCCTCATCCCTACTCACATGACATTGGTTGGTTGTTCCTTGGCTCCTTTGTCATCGATAGTTTTTGTTCAGATTTATCCTGCAGATATTTGCCAGTCTCATTTAGCTGCATAGAGTTACTGTTCAATAATTCACTGTTAAAATATGTGAAATTAGTATTGCATGAATAAGGCAAGGCACACTGTTTCTCACTGACCACACGTGTAGTAACTCCGATGACATCACTGTCTGTGGTGTAGTTCAGCTTCCCCAAGGCCACATATTTCATCTTATACTCAGTGTCAGGTCTGAGACCAGTCAGAAAAACTTCATCTCCACTCGTTTTCACAGACTGAGATTTCCAATCATTCTCTTCTTTTTTTTTGTACAGTAACCTGAGCTCTTGTGTTGCAGGACATAATGGTGTTGCCTTCAAAACCACTATATCCTCACCAATCTGTTCAATGACTGGACTAGCTGGTTTTATTGGAGGAGTGAAGCATGTCGCTTTATCAGATCCATTTTCATAAATAAGAATGCAGGAACCTGGATGGTTTGTGTGACTTTTATATACAACCAAAAATGTTGATGAGTGACTGCCATATGAACATTTGAGCTCATTAAATATTTCCAAATGCTTCTTCATAGTCTCTCTGATACTTCCTGTGAGCCAAGTTTCAGACACAGAATTGGGGTTCTTATTAGAATTTCTCCTCATTATTTCAGGTTTCAGGAAATCTCCTTGTTTAGAAAGCAGGTTGTCTGGCAGATCAAGAGAAGTGAATGTGTAACACACCACATTCTCAAAACTAACATCAAACAAATATTCATCTAAACTATTGTTCACCTCAGTTCCAGAGTCCAGCAGCTGTTGAAGAATCTTCTCAACTGCATTTGATTCGGTTTCTTTCACTCTGATCCACTCTATAAGATCACTTTCATTAAATGGAGACTCATGATGAGCTTGTAGAAGGTCTGTCAGAGCACTGATGTCTTTTTCACAGGTTTGAACTGACTGCATTGTGGATGTAATTTTAATTTCTAAGTCTTGTTTGTAGATCTGACAGTGTCTTCTCATGTCTTCAAACTTGTTGTGAATTGCTCTAAAAGTGACTGCACTCTTGTCCTCCATCAGTTTACTGCACTTGTCTTCTATCAAGCTCAGCTTTTCTAAAATGGACTCTGTGGCATCAGTGAGTTTCTTGTCAATAACTCTAAGGTGAATCACATCACTGTCTATGGTGTAGTTCAGCTTCCCCACAGCTGCAAATTTCATCTCATACTCAGTGTCTGGTCTGAGATCAGTCAGAATAACTGTATCTTGACTCTTTTTCACAGACTGAGATTTCCAGTCGTTCTCTTCTTTTGTTTTGTACAGTAACCTGAGCTCTTCTGTTGCAGGACACACAGATGTCACCTTCAAAACCACTCTTTCCCCGATGACCTGTTCAATGATGGGCTCAGCTGGTTTTATTGGCGGAGTAAAGCATTTCGCTTTATAAGATCCATTTTCATAAAGGAGAATACAGGAACCTGGATGGTTTGTCTGATCTTCTGATATAACCAAAAACTTTGTTGAGTGACTGCCATATGAACATTTGAGCTCTTTAAACATTTCTAATTGTTTTTTCAATTTCTCTCTGGTACTTCCTGTGAGCCAAGTTTCAGACACAGCATTGGGTTTCTTATCAGAATTTCTCCTTATCATTTCAGGTTTCAGGAAATCTTCTTGATCAGAAAGCAGGTCGTCTGGCAGATCAAGAGAAGTGAATGTGTAACACACCACATTCTCAAAACTAACATCCAACAAATATTCATCTAAACTATTGTTCACTTCAGCTCCAGTTTCCAGCAGCTGTTGAAGAATCTTCTCAACTGCTTTTGATTCGGTTTCTTTCACTCTGATCCACTCCACAATATCACTTATGTTAAATGGAGACTCATGATGAGCTTGTAGAAGGTCTGTCAGAGCACTGATGTCTTTTTCACAGGCTTGAACTGACTGGATTGTGGATTTAATTCTGTCTTGTTTGTAAGTCTGACAGTGTCTCTTCATGTCTTCAAACTTGTTGCGAATTGCTCTAAATGTGACTGCACTCTTGCCCTCCATCAGTTTACTGCACTTGTCTTCTATCAAGCTCAGCTTTTCTAAAATGGACTCTGTGGCATCAGTGAGGTTTTTGTCAATAACTCTGAGGTGAATCACATCACTGTCTATGGTGTAGTTCAGCTTCCCCACGGCTGCAAATTTCATCTCATACTCAGTGTCTGGTCTGAGATCAGTCAGAATAACTGTATCTTGACTCTTTTTCACAGACTGAGATTTCCAGTCTTTCTCTTCTTTTGTTTTGTACAGTAACCTGAGCTCTTCTGTTGCAGGACACACAGGTGTCACCTTTAAAACCACTCTTTCCCCACTGATCTGTTCAGTGACTGGATGAGCTGGTTTTATTGGCGGAGTAAAGCATGTCGCTTCATCAGATCCATTTTCGTAAATGAGAATGCAGGAACCTGGATTTGGTATTTCCTTCGATGCAACAATATATTTGGCTGGTTTACATATTTTTGATTCCATCAAGTTTTTGAAGATGATCAAGTTGCTCCTCATTGTGGTTTTGATGTCAGATGTGAACCCAGATTTTTTACTTAAAACAGAAGCATCCTCACTGTTGTTTTCTATTGTTGATGGATTCAGGAAAGCCTTTTGTTTAGTAAGGAGCACATCTGGACACTCAAGTGATGTGAAAGTGTAGCTTACTACATTTTCAACATTAAGATCCATTAAAATTCCATCTAGATTATTTTCCACTGTTGCTCCAGAATCAGTCAATTGTCTGAGAAGAGTTTTAATAATGACGGATTCATTCTCTTTTTCTTTCACCCATTTCTCAAGATCCCTTTTTCTGAATGGACATTTTTCATGATCATGGAGGAGCTCAATCAGGGCTGTCTCATTTTCTGTATCACTACGGATTTTTGGCAATAGCGATCCAAGTTTCTTCATGAAGCTCAGCTTATAGTTGCAGCAGTTTTGCTTCATAATCATTATTTTATCATGAAATCCTGCAAAAGCCAAAGATGGTGTATCATTCAGAAGATCACTGCATTTCATTTCAGTGGTCCTTAAGCTCTCAAATACTGATTCAACATTTCTGATTAGATCTATGCTGATTTCTTGTTGAAGTTTCACATAATGTGAATGCAGTTTGTCCAGTGGATAAAGCCACACTCTCAGTGGAACTGCACACTCCTTGGTTTCTCCCAGCAGTTTAGGAAGATCAGCAAAAACCCTCAGAGCTTCTTCAAAAGAGGCTGGATTAGATTTTAACTGGAAATCACCATAAAATGTGCAGCTGAATTTCTCAAAAACAGTCTTTTGATTGTCATCCAAGCTCAGATCAATCTGTGTACTTTCTGAAATCCCTTTTAGTTTTTCTAAGGCAGCCTTTACGTCTCTGTCTACAGTGCTTTGGTCTTCAACTAATGAAGCTTCTCTGTCAAAAACAAAGCAAGCATTGGCCCCATACAGCACAGCTGTCACCACATGTGTCGCTGCATCATTCTCAAACACTTCATAGTGGGTTATATTTTCAGATGGCAAGTGGTTCACAGTCAGTTCTTCACGTTTGGTGGTTGAATGATAATGTAGGGTCAGTCTCTGCTGTTTGAAGGATTTCTTGGTGTCACTGAGATACTTGGCTGCTCCACTAACATTGATGAGTCCACTTAAAAAACTCAGTTTTAGACAATCATTAATGTTCAGTAATTGGCATTTTGCCTCAATAAAGTCTGAATTTGTAACACAGAAATCTGTTTTAATTTGAGGATGGATTTTTATGCTCTGCTGCAGTTGCTCTTCATCCCACAGTGTGATTCCTGGAAAACATAAAAAATAGACAAATATAGGATTAAACTATTGCAAAATAGGCTTAATTGCAACCATGGACACACTATTTTGTTAAAGAATGTCTGTCACTCATTTGCTTGCTGAAAGAAAAAAAAACATATGGTTGTAATGTATGCCTTGATGCTGGTTTGCTTGTCCCTTGCTTATTCTTTGCTGGTCAGAACAAACCAGTATAAACAAGCATCAAATCTTAAAACCTTAACAACATATGCTGGTAACCCTATTTTATGAATTAGACCACTAGGTTTTAACTACTTAAAAGCAGTATGAAAAGTCTTTAAGAAAAAAGAATAAGAATATAAGACAAATGATTGAGAGAACTTTTATCGACCACACTCAGACAAATGTTGGTACAAATGTTGTTATCAGGGCTGTACTTGTCCATACTGGTACCTAAAATTTTATTATAAATTCACCTTGCCTATTCTTCCTATTAGTATTATTTGTTAGATCAGTTGTCTGTTATGTAAAATTGTTTTGTATGATTTGGTACCTGGTACAAATGCATCTTTTCTGCAGTCGTACAGCATCCCCAGCCTGAAGGGTCTCCCCAGAGCTGCTGTTTCAACAATGTTAACTCCCACTCCCAAGTCCATACTGAAGCCAGTGAGACCAGAAATCAGAAAATCAATATTATTGTTTAGTATTCATAGGTACATACATGCATACATACATAAATAAATCTGGTGACCTGGCATACATACTGTAAATGTATTTAATGAAATTACAATAAAATGACTTGAGATATTCCTGAAAGCATGACAAAAACCCTCAAAAATCACTAGCCTCATTTCATTTTCTTCTCTAGGAAGAAAATGCTTCTGAATCTACATTTAGCATAACAGGTGTAAGCCTATTGACCTTATTCTTGACGTGAGAGAGGGCACAGCCATTGAAATCTTTTTATTATTTCTAGTCATTTCTTTCATAGCCAACTGAATCAATGGCACAAGTTCTAAAACAGGGGTAGGGAACCTATGGCTCAGGAGCTACATGTGGCTCTGACCAAATATTTGTGGCTCTCCAGCTGTCTCTCTTCAATATTTCATTTATTCATCTTTATTTCAGCTTTAGTAATCCAGGGTCGCCACAGTAGAATGAACCACCACCTTATCCAGCACATGTTTTACGCAGTGGATGCCCTTCCAGCTGCAGCCCATCTCAGGGAAACATCCTTACTCACTCATTCACTTTGGACAATTTAGCCTACCCAATTCACCTGTACCACATGTTTTTGGACTGTGGGGGAAACTGGAGCACCCGGAGGAAACCCACGCGAATGCGGGGAGAACATGCAAACTCCACACAGAAACGCCAACTGACCCAAGCTTGAACCAGCGACCATCTTGCTGTAAGGCGACAGCACTACATACAGCGCCACTGCATTGCCTTCAATATTTCAGATTTTTACAAAATATGTTAATACAAATCAGTTGAAAATACAATTAAAATTCCCTTTATATTGTATCTACTACAGCAAAATGAATAGAACTCAGTTTACAATAAAAGGACGTTTCAACCAAAGTGCATATGTGGTGCTGTGGTTTAACTTAAAGCACAACAACAATGAAGGGCAAGCTATATTTTTTACATTTCTATGGTAAATTTCTGTGGTAACTTACATTTCTATGGTAACCTCAAGCACGTAAATCCAAGCATTTATAAGTGGCGATGGCAAGATTTTTTTTAATTGTTGTTTTTTCATACATTGTGATGCGTCATATTTGCTTATTTTTGAGTTGTGCATGGACATAAATAAAGGTTTTGTTTATAAATTAAGGTTTTGCTAGACACACACACACACACATTATTTGGCTCTTTAAAAAGTGCATTTGATTAAAACAATCTCAAATTGCTCTTTGCTGAAAAAAGGTTGCTGACCCTTGTTTTTAAACAATCGAACGAAAAAATGAGTGCACTTATGCATTAAGGAAAGTCAATACTTGCAGCTATTAATGCACATGGTAAAGTTAAACCAAAATACGAACGAATTGTAGGTCAATCGGTGTTGCTAAAAATAAATATGCTACAATATTTAGACTCCAGTGAACGCATTTATCATTGTAATATAGGGTTCGAGTATTTTGCGTGACTCACTCTCAAAGTAAATAAAATAAATCACCGGAGACGGCTTGTGAAACGTGACCTGTCTTTACTTCTTTTCACCAGTCAGCGCTTACAAATGTAACAACTGGCATTCAGCCAATCAGAATGTACAAAGATGAAGATCCAAGTAAATCTAACATTTCGAACAGTAACGCAGATTCCACACTTTAACTACCATCTATCTGAACATATTTTTAATCTTACAATTCTTTTTCCACCCACTTAAGAAACGTCCTCGTTTCTTTAGAGTTACAAAATTAAAGAAAAAACAGAAGAAAATAAAAAGAAAGAAACTACCTGTTAAAGTAGCTTTTTAGAGTCTCTTATGTCAAAAAGATAATCTCTTAAATATCCAGGTTTAACTGGACGCCGGCCTAGACATGTCATTGGAGCTGAACTTGAACTCTGATTAGGTGTGGACGTAACACTGGCTGGGTCCACTGAGGAAGAAGGCACTTGAAGAGGAAGGGGTGCCTGTGGGAGGATTTGGTCTTCTGACGTTAAGTTAGGTTTGCACCGTGCAAATTGTGATGGTTTGAAAGGTAACGCACCTGATAGAGCGGTCAAGGATGGGGAAGGATACGAAGCAGAGAGGGTAGTTTGCTGCGGTTTTTGAGGAACTGGTGCACAATATGGTCTCAGTCGGTTGTAATGAACAATTTGACATTTTTCTGGATCATCCAGAAGATAGTGGATTTTGTATGTGACACCCACATCCCACCGCCGCCACCAAATGTAATATAGGGTTCGAGTATTTTGCGTGACTCACTCTCAAAGTAAATAAAATAAATCACCGGAGACGGCTTGTGAAACGTGACCTGTCTTTACTTCTTTTCACCAGTCAGCGCTTACAAATGTAACAACCAACCTGGCATTCAGCCAATCAGAATGTACAAAGATGAAGATCCAAGTAAATCTATTTCGAACAGTAACGCAGATTCCACACTTTAACTACCATCTATCTGAACATATTTTTAATCTTACATCATTAATCGTTTAAACTGCCCTCACTTACAGATCTACGGATTCAGACAGATTTTTAGAGGTCAGATTCGATTGCCCCTGCTGGCTGTCTGCTATAACCTCACCCTCTCAATTTAAGCGTGTGGATGAGGGCTATTATTAAGATAAAATTTAATAGAAACCTATAAACCACGTCTGCGAACAGTTTTACAATCTACTTTTTAGACACTCGATCCGTCAACACAACTGTTTCTTCCGACAATATTTAAGTAGCCTATATTTACTATTTTTATCTAGAGTTTTTTAAACTAGTTTTGTACCTCTGCGAATTGTTCACGTTTGAAGCACTGAAATTTATTCAAATGACTAGATTAAATAACAAGGTTGAGACGTGCGTCCGACATTTCGTTTTTAACCATCATTTCTTAACAGCTGCTAGCACTTGAAGCTAATTATATACAATACCTGCGCATTTGCTTCAATCAGCTTTAACGTGGTCCACTTCAAAATGATAAATCAGAATTTTGTCTTTAAAAAACACATTTTCTTAGACTAGCCTTTAACGCAATCTTCTAAGATCACCACCAGGAACCGCATTCTTTCATTTTCACTTTTGCTTCTCTTAAACGCCTCCTACTAGTAAATCAACAATTTTCAGGTTTTCCTGGTTATGTTCGAAACAGGCATGTAGCCTACTAACTTCTTAGATAAATCTTTGATTTGTAATGAAACATTTTTTAAATAATAACACATTATATCAGGTTATCTCTAAATACTAGCCTGTTTTTATAGGAATATTTTATCTTAATGTTAATGTTAAATCTTAATCTAAATGTTAACTGTCTGCTTCCTCAATTTTACATTCAGTTTCAATTATAAAAACAAAAATAAGTCTTATATTAATCTTTTTTGTGAATTAACTCTGTTAAATAAACATTTGCCTTAAACATATACTTTGTATTATTTGTTTTTTCTATATAATTAATTAAAAATAATTGGCTATAATGATTATTTATATGTATTGTATATTAAGTTTGTATAATAATGATGAGTGAAGCAGGCGCAGTATGAGGTGCCGTATAGGATTTAAATCAAACTTTGCTTATCAATACATACATAAAACACGTGTATACACCTATAAATTACTCGCATATACACCTATACTACGGGATGTTCAAAACAACATGGATGAAACTTGTGTATATACATATAAACTTGACGCATGAATACATACACACGCACATACATATACACTCGATCCTCACATAAACACCCAGATTAACACACGCACATACATATAAACTTGCTGCATGCAAACACACCTATACACACTTGCATATACATATAAACTCGATTCTCGCATAAATACCCACATTTACATGCACATACATATAAACTCGTATCATGCAAACACACCTATACATAATCGCATATACATATAAACTCGGTCTATGCATATACACCCTCAACAACACGCGCACATACACAAACTCACTGCATGCTAATTACATGCACCTATAACATCTCACGCAAACATACAAAAAATAAATAAAATTCACAAACGTTTATCACGAATCTGGTTATTGCAAAGCTTATGAAATAGAAATAATGTGATTAATAGAGGGATTAAATATGTTAAATTGTGAACATAGGCCTATATAAAATATTAGTCTATATAAATAGACTATTCAAAATAAGAAATATTTTATTTAAAACCTTTTCATTTAATTAGGTAATTACATACACAAATATAAATGGACAGATAAAACCCTTATAGAACGTTTAAAAAGAATTTTTAGAATTATAAATATAAATGCATACTCAAACTAAACTCCTCTTTTCTATTGCAAATGTTAATGTAGCATATAGTCTTCTTGTTTTGTTTTTTAAATATTTATAATTATTATGCTTTTTATATGTTTTTTCAATGTGGGTGTCAAAATTGCAAGATTTTGGTATCATTTTGATTGTTAATTATTCAGCATATACAAAAAAAAAAAAAAAAAAAAAAAAAAACGCTGATTAAAAGTCTCTGCTCATCATGTTGGTCAGGTTAACCCCCATGGTAAAAGCTATATATATTATCTGGACACTCCTTTTGTGTTTAATAACTACTAATATTTTTACAGCAGCTGGCATCCAGCATTTTGGTGCATTAGCCTGTTTATTGGTGACAGGAAAACCCACTTAAGTGCATTCCTGCCCCCTACTGGACATAAGTGTGTATCATAACCCTTGACGAATAGTGACACCAATAATAAAACAAACATAAAAAACTAATTTTAGACAAACATATTTTATTCAAAATGATTACTTAAGCAACCTTATATTTATTAAACCATAATAACATTTTCAATAATTTAATTACATAATAAACCTTTAATTTTGCAGGAGCATTCCTTAGCATTACCTTTATATATATATATTTTTTAATTAGCATAATATATTTTCATAATTCAACAGATGTAATTCCTTTATTAATCGCATTATTTCTGTTTCTTAAGGTTTGCAAAACCTGAGTCTTGACAAATAATAATCTTGTTCATTACACTCAAAGGACTTTTACGTTGAAATTAAACTACTTCCTTTTAAAGTGAAATAACTTCCTTTTACTGTGAAAATTAATGCATACACACATATGAAATCACTTGCTTATATGTATATACACAACTAACTGTATATATGTTTGTGAATTTTATTTTGTATGTTTGCACAAGTGTCATTTGGGTGTTTATGCACACATCAAGTTTATATTCTTATGTGAGAGTTTATGGGTGTATATGCATAGATCAAGTTTATATGTATATGCGAGTGTGTATAAGTGTGTTTGCATGCAGCAAGTTTATATGTATGTGCGTGTGTTAATGTGGGTGTTTATGTGAGGATCGAGTTTATATGTATGTGCGTGTGTATGTATTCATGCGTCAAGTTTATATGTATATACACAAGTTTCATCCATGTTGTTTTGAACATCCAGTAGAATAGGTGTATATGCGAGTAATTTATTGGTGTATACACGTGTTTTATGTATGTGTTGATAAGCAAAGTTTGATTTAAATCCTATTGTCATGAGAGTAAACTCTTCATTCGTTTCACAGATTACTTTTTATTAAACAGACATGCATGTACAACGCACTTCCTATAAACTCTGTCATTCACTTTCCGGGTTAACCCCTTTGACCCCCACGGGGTGGGGTTACACCAAACAGGTACAATATGATTGGTTAACATAATAAACTGGTTTCCCACATCTTTCCTCTTTAGAAAAGAAGATCATGTTTTCCACTTTTAACACAAACCCTAAACATTGGTTTATGTTTAACAGCATACCCAAATTAAAGTGCAACATCAAGCAATGATATATATATATATTTTTTTTATTAACTCAAATCTTAATTCCTTTCTATAACCTGAAACAGTCCAAGAAGTCTAAGTAACGTTTGGGCGTTTTCACCACCCTTCCACTGGAAGTCGTAACTGGTGGTTTAGTGTCCAGTAAAGGTGTTGCTGGGTCAACTGTGTGAGTATTTGAATGTTCAGTCCCAGACAGAGCTGGTTCTTTTTCTTCCTGCAATTCTGCTTGGATTGTAGCATCTGGTTGCGATGGCATTGCTTGCAAATGCTTCCTGTTTCTACGCAGGACAGCTCCTTTTTGAGTTTGCACCAAGTACGATCTTGGTTCTGATGTTTTGTTTAGCACAATCGCTGGTGTTTTCCAGTGCTTTTCGCTGTCCAGCTTAAGAAGAACCTTCTCTCCAGGATGTAACTCGGGCAGTGTGCGAGCAGAGTGTCTCCGGTCATAATAGAACTTGTAAGACTCCTTTGCAGCTTTATCTTTCTTCTCCACTGCTTTAAGATCATTGGGTTGAGGTTGATATTTTTCCTCAAGCATTGGCAGTTTGGTTCTAATCTGCCGTCCAGTCATTAATTGTGCAGGGCTAAGTCCAGTTGCAACGACCGGAGTCGCACGGTAACACATCAATGCCAGGTGAGGATCAGGTTGGCAGAGAATCCGTTTTGCAGTTTGAACTGCTCTCACTGCAGCCCCGTTGGCTTGGGGAAAATGAGGACTTGAAGTTGTATGATGGAAATCATAGTCTGTACAAAACTGTCTAAATTCAGCTGAGGCAAACTGTGGGCCATTGTCGGATACAAGCTCCCTGGGAATACCCCATCTCACAAACATGCACTTCAGTCTGCTGATAACATTAAAGCTGGATAGTGTTTGCAGGTGAGCTATTTCAATGTCACGTGAGTGGTAGTCTACAACTACTAAGTAAGTTTTCCCATTCAACTCGCATAAATCTGCAGCAATCTTACACCAGGGACCAGTAGGCAGGGGTGTAGTGATCAGGGGTTCTTTTCTTTGTGTAGGTTTATGAGTCCTACAAAATGTGCACCCTGAAACAATCCTGTTGATGTCATTGCCAAGTCCTGGCCACCAAACTGACATCTTTGCCCTCTGGCGACACTTTGCGAGCCCCTGATGTCCTTCATGAATTCGGCTTAACACTTCCTCCCTCATCAACACAGGAACGACAATTCTGTCCTCATACAAGACTTACCCATTGACAAAAGACAATGAAGCCCTGGCTGTATGATAATGACTCAAGGGGAAGGGTATGTGCTTTGGCCAACCCATGCTGAGAAAACCTATCACTGCCTGGAGATCTGCATCTAACTGTGTAGCCTTCCTAATGGAATCGAGCTTGGATTGTGACACCTCTTTAGATGCAACAACTGCTTCAACATATGCCTTCACCTCATCTTCCATCTCTGAGTGGAAGTGCCCACTCAAAGGTTTCCGAGAAAGCGTGTCCGCCACCACCAAACATTTACCTGGAACATGGACTGCCTTTGCATTGAAGCGCATTAATCGCATTAGCAAACGCTGACATCTTAACGGAGCACGATCAATATCATACGAATTTATTAGTGGAACTAGCGGTTTATGATCTGTCTGCAGGCAAAATTCTTCCAATCCTTGAAGGTAATGAGCAAAACGCTCGCAGGCCCACACTCCCGCCAAGCACTCCTTTTCAATTTGTGAGTACCTGCGCTCTGCTTCAGTCAAAGTTCTCGAGCAGAATGCGACTGCTCGCGTCACATTACCATGAACTTGAAGCAGAGCAGCTCCCAACCCAAAACTGCTCGCATCAGCACTAACCATTGTGGGTTTTTCAGGGTCATAATATGCCAGAGTAGGAGCTGTGGCCAACATGGATTTTACCTTACTCAGAGCCTGCTCCTGGACCTCGGACCAAATCCAGACTGCATCTTTCTTCAGCAGAGCTGTAACTGGTTGCAGCACTGTTGAAAGCCCTGGCACAAATTTGCCTAAATAATTGATCATTCCTAAAATTTGCCTTAGCTCAGTCACATTAGTGGGACTAGGCATCTCAGTAATCGCTGTTACCATGGTTGC